TCTCCCTCCCTCCCCTCCTCTTTTTCAGTCCTGGGGATTGAATTCAGGGCCTCACATGTCAGGAAAGTGCTCTACCACTGAGCTACAACCCCCAGCCCAAGAACTGCTGTTTTCATTTCTCTGGTTCAAGTCCATCTGGTGGGGTCTCCATGGCCTCTTTGATCAAGTAGACAGGGGACTCACCACAGTTACCAGGACATTTTGAGAGATGCTCCATACACATTTTTAGTTCTGTCAGATTTCTTGGCTAGAATTGCCTTGAATAAGGACAAGCTAACTTTAAACACGCTGAGTGTGTTTGTTAGGCAACTTTCCATCCCTGAGACAAACAACTTATAAAAAGGAAACAACAGGGCTGGATAGAGAGAGGGATTAGCAGTTAGGGGCATGCACTGCTCTTACAGAGAACCCTGAACTCCAGATCAGATGCCCTCTTCTGACCTCCACAGGCACCTATATTCATATGTACACACCAGCCCCCATAAATATGTATGATTAAAAATAATAAATCTCTTTTTTTAAAAGAAGGGACGATTTATTTGGGCTGAGGGTTTTAGAAGTTGAAGTTCATCGTTGCTTGGTTTCATTACTTGGGCCTGTGGTGAAGTGGAACAGGGCAGGAGCACATGGTGGAGCTGGGAAGCAGAGTGAGAGGAAGGTTCTGTCTCTGTCTCCTTCAAGAGCACATCCTTGGTAACTTAAGTTCCTTTCACTAGACTTCATTCTCTTTTGTCCCCAGTACTGGGGTTGGACTCCAGGCCCCAGGCTTGCTAGACATTTGCTTTACTGAGTTATATACCTAACTCTTCTTTAAAAAAAAAAATTATTGCCGGGTGTGGTGGCACATACCTTTAATCCCAGCACTTGGGAGGCAGAGGTAGGAAGATCTCTGTGAGTTCGAGGCCAGCCTAGTCTACACAGCAAGTTCCAGGTCAGCTGGGGATACAGGATTCAAAAAGAATTATTTGTGGTTTTTATTTTATGTGTATACAAGTATTGTCTGCATGTATGTAAGGGCATCCATGTTGTACAATGCCTGCAGAGGACAGAAGAGGGTGTTAGATTCCCTCAAACTGGAGTTATGGACAGTTGTTAGCTGCGATGTAGGTGCTGGGATTGGAACTGGGGTCTTCTGCAAGAACAGTCAGTGTTCTTAACCACTGAGCCATCTCTCTAGACCCAAGGGACCTTTAAAAATTTTTTAAAGTTACATCTCTATCTATCTATCTATCTATCTATCTATCTATCTATCTATCTATCTATCTATCTATCTTCTTTTTATCTATCTTCCTT